TCCCTCCGCTAACTGGGAGTCGCATATTCTTGTCAATCAAATTTGTGATTTCATTGTTGCCATTCGTGTGATGTTGTCTTTCAACGATTGCCGCACTTAATGGGAATGTGAGGTCCGATGTGTTGACAACTTTTGATAAACTTTTCAATGAAGGAAACGATTGGAAACCAAATTCTGAGGCAAACTTAGCGCTCGGGTATTGTTTCCAATCCCAGGCCTGGGGCTGATAGTAGTAGAAGTGGACGTCTCCGAAGACATTGCTTTGGGGGTCACTTGAGAGCCAATTTCTTTTGATTGTTTCCAAACCATTAGATGGACTCGACGTTAGATATGGCCGAGAATTATCTTCTCTGAGCACAACTTCACGGATGAGTTCAACGTATAATTTAATGTAATCTCTTTTATATGTTTCCTAAAATGTTAATAATAAAATGAGAAACAATGACATTAAATACATTAGTTAATCATATGAACCGATTTAAACATGATTTCGGGCCACCAGTACTGTGCGATCGCCGCCTCGTTCTCGTTGTTGCCTAAAATTTAAAACAATTAACACAATGTAATCAATAGGTGATTGATAGCAATACCGGCCCACAAAGCAATGGACGAATGGTGTTGCAAACGGCGGACCTGTTGTGTGACTTCTGTGTTAACTGAGTCCAAGAACTGGCTGTCGACGGGATATAAAGCACAGGCAAACATAAAGTCGTGCCAAATAAGTATTCCTAACTCATCGGCAATTTGGTAGAACTCGTCCGACTCATACTATGATAGACGCGGCGAAGAAGTTGGGCATCAAATGGCTTTATAATTGGCTGAACAGTAATGGCGTGAAAATAGTTGATAATAAAGTGAAAGTTCTTGACTACAGTTCGCCACCAAAACTAGTATTCGATAGACTGAAACACAATTTGCATGACATTGTTATCCGATCTGAAGATGGGGTTGAGTTCAAGTGTCATAAATGTATTCTTATGTCACGACTCGAGTATTTCAGAGGAATGTTTAGCTTTGGTTGGACTGAAGCGTCGGCTAACAGTTCGCTAACGCTTCCGATTCCGTCGCGAATATTGCAGATAATTATGGATTACATCTATAGAGACGAGTCGTCAAAACTGGAGTCTATTGAAGATCCGGAGTTTATTTGTCACGTTTTAGTGATCGCCGACCAATACTTGATCCCTCGTCTTAAGACATTCTGCGAATACGCTGTCGTCAATCTTTGTAATTCATTATTTGATTTTAAACTTTCATTTTTCAATTCATTGAATGAAAATAATTTACATTTTACAGTGAATCTGAAGAATGCGTGCGAACTCTTGGAGTTGTCGTATATCTATAACGCGGAACAGTTGAGGAGATGTTCTTTGGATTTCATTTGCATTAATTTACAAACTCTTATCGAAACGAAATCTATTGATGTGTTGAGTGAGGAAGCGTTGAAAGACTTGACAGAATGCTATCAGAATCTTGTAAATTAAATCTATTGTAATGTTTATCTCGAAATAGACTAAACTCTTATGTTTTTACAGATTACTCGACCCCGTAATCGACGGATAAGACGATACTCTTATGCGCCAAATGCCGAACAATTAGAACAAATTTATTCATTATTTGATGCGAGCGTTGAATTCAGTGTGAATTTAGAGGAGAAGAAAGCGATTCTCAATAAGAGAGCTAACGATATAAAGCGCCACAAGAAGTCCAATCGGCAGCGAATTGAGTCCAACTCATCCGATGTGATGGACTCCGAGTACTCACAGACATCGAAGCTGTCGGTCAGTTCACCGAAAGATGAGTCCGAACTGAGAAGACGTATGAATTGTGAATCTGAAAAACCGATGCAAACAATTGCTGTTTCTATGAATTCTTCAATCAAACCAAAGAAATCCCAAACTCTAAGTCTGTCTGAATTTCAAACGACAAATACTGTCAGTCCTCCCGAAATATCAGTTAAACAAAAGCCAATCACTTGGGGTATGACTTCATTGGCAAAACCGATTCAGTTCTCTATGAAAGACATCATTTCAGAAGAAGAGACAAAATTGACAAAAATCACAAAATTTAAACCAAACTCAATGCCTAAAGAGGCGCCGATTGTGCGCCAAAATCCGATACCAATACCGAAAACATCGCAAAATCGAAACAATTATCGGAAACCGAATGATATGTCGTTTTCAATGGACTCTAATTCTCCGAAATCGTTCGCACAAATGGCTGTTTCGCCGCCAAAATCGTTGTCCAATCCTTGGAAATCAAAGGACAGCCCATCGCCGACCACCGCATCCATTGATCAGTCATTTCTTCGTAATTATCCACAAATGGCTACCATTTCTATGAAAGATATCGTTCGCGAAGAGGAGGAACAGATCCAAAATCTTCGCGCACTTCAGACAAAGCCTTTGCATTTGATTAGTATAGAAGACAAAGCTATTGAAGAGTTGCTCACTTTTTACAAAGCGAACGCCAATCCCGACGAATGCATTACTGTTGAAAGGGTGTCCACACGAATGGCTGAACCCGTTTGGACTCGCAATCAGTGAATCGCTAATCATTTTACATTAATTTTATGACAAAGTCTTTGGATTTATTGTTGTTTAGAAATTCTACTGTTTTTTGTGACCAAAACATTGAATAAAATTGACATTTAATTTAACAATATGCTAGTTTTACTATACTTATGGTTGATCTCAATGTGTTACTTATATTTTATTACCTTTATTATTGAAAAATATTTGCTCGCGTTTTATCAGTAAAAATGATGCAACAATTGAATCAAGATTCATCTGATTTTATGCTAAATAAATTGATTCATAAATATTTTGTTTCCTATTCCTCGCGTTCACAACAAATAAAATTCATAATTTGTAAGAATTCGTTGTAAACATTGAATTCAAAACCAGATTCCGAGTTATAAACAGTGGTTTCAATTCAAAGAAACTTTTCAAAGAGATTGTTAATAAGAAATGACAGAAAACAATAAGTTGTGTTCAATCTGTAGGGATGAGGACAGTGTCGGCAATCTATTGATGGCCTGTCAGTGTCGGGGAACCGGCGGTTACACACACTTTGAGTGTCTGAAGCATTGGATGGAGTGGACGGGACGGGACGTGTGTAACGTATGTCGCGGCAAATACCGGGGCGTCGTGTGTGTGAAGCGGCCGCGAGGGCTCGTCTCCTATATGTGGCAAAACAGGGTCACAATCTTTTCCCACTGTCTCTACTATACGGTTCAGTCGTATCTGATATACGTTTGTTTGGATCACTCAAACGCCCGGACAGAGGATATTGGATACAACACCGGCTCTCAAATGCTGTCACTCCTCGGCCTATACATGGCTTTCGACGCGTCCGTAACTCTGGGCGTCGACCTCTTCCGAGGGCTCAGGAATTTCAACGATTGGAAAGAAACTAATTTTCATATTAAAGTGATTCAAAAGGAAGAGAGCAGCCGTACATACTCTCCCCATTAACTCATATACTAATTGTGAAAATTCCAGTTTTATTTATTTTAAATATTTTACAATAAATTGCTTTAAATTGACTGATTCTTGACTACACGTAATTTCTTAAATCGTTGATCAAAATATATAATTCTTTTTAGTAAATGAATTCACAACTTATCTGAATAATTATTCTGCAACACAACTGTTTAGAACTGATGTTATAATTGATTTTCAAAATTACAAAAAGTTATGTATTTTATTAAACTGTTTAATGAAATATTTACAAAGAATACGAATTAATTTTGTCTAACAATCTATTAATACATATATAATTATAAGAAGAGAGACTCCAAGTGAGGGCACCGGCTATTGGCACCGTTTGAGTGACCACTTGTTGTCCACAGTTTGTACACTTCATACTCATGGGATACGGACTCGTCTGCATATTCTGTACGACCACAACATTGTTGCCCGACTGGGGATCAGCTTTGGTTTGAGCCATGGATTTGTCGCAACAGATATACAAACAAAGAGACACACAATTTGATAAATTTACTATTATTTGTAAGATTTGCACAAATGAGTGATTCAACGACTTTCTGTTTGATTTCAATTCTGACTAAATAACCGTTAAAACCGTTATATAAATCACATTAACTTATATTACAAATAATTAAATCTATTGTTTAAAATGATAGCACGAAAAACAATACAAGATTATAATGAGATATATTTTACAATAAATTGAATTCAATTGACTGATTCTTGATTACACGTAATCTCTTAAATCTTTGATCAAAATATATAATCTTTTTTAGTAAATGAATTCACAGATTATCTGAATAATTATTCTGAAACACAACTCTTTAGAACTGATGTTATAATTGATTTTCAAAATTAATAAAAGTTATGTATTTTATTAAACTGTTTAATGAAATATTTACAAAGAATAAGAATTAATTTTGTCTAACAATCTATGAATACATATATAATTATAAGAAGAATAATGTGTTTTAAAAATGTTTTCAAAATAAGAATCATTTTTTGTCCATTTTGTCGCTGGCTTTTCCGTCGGTGACGACAACAACTTTGGGCTCTTTGTATGCGATGGCAATCATATCTATCTGTTTCATCATAAGTATGCAACAGATGGCCAGTAATATGGAGGCCGTGAGGAATATGACGGCACCGACGTGTAGAGCGATCTCATGATTGAATTGTTCCGTCCGATTGAAGAGCCAGTAATACAAGAGGCAAATAATTGCTGAGAAAATCCAAACAAAATTAATGATAGAGCAGATGAGGAATAGGACACGATTTCCACATTTGATGGCATACCAGCCAATCGGCGCTGAGATTAGTTGCATAATCGCGAGTCCACCGAAGATAACTAAATGTGTTTTCCCCGCATAGAAAGCATAGGCACACAAACCCAGAATAATCTGGTTTATGGCCAGAATCAGCACTAATAGACATAAATGACTGATAATTCTTTTGAGAAGTTTTAGTCTCTCCTCGTCCTGAAGCGGATCTTTGCTTCCCATCACTTCCGCCGACTTCTTTTGATTGTCCTCTTCTTTGGTCTCGCCTTTGATTTTTGAGTCCTTGTTTTCAACAGAGCTTTTAGTCGTTTCTTTAATTTTGGATTCCTTTGGTGTCTTTGGAATTGGTTTGGATTCCATTGAATTATATTAAATGACAATCGTTTGGGATTTATTCAAAGAAATCTATACAACACTTAAATGTCTTTGAAATATACGTTAAAGTATTTTACAAAATATGGTTCAAATCAAATTCAAATAAAGTTGAATTCAACAGAAAATAATATTTTTATAAATTCTAACAATTAATAGAAGCCAATGATTAATACATATCTTGTTTTTGACATTATTTGCAATGTTTTTTAAACAAATTATTCTAAATTCAATTAAAATATAAGAAAAAGAAAATCCAATATAAATTATAACATTTAATGAATAAATTATTTAAAGCACAGAATTGATTACAATTAAAGTGTTTATTTATAAATCAATATTTGAACAAAATTTGAATTTGAAAATTTTTAAAGACAAACATAAAGATAAGACAATTGATTGAAAAATATATTGAAGAATATAATGTTGAGAATGAATTGAAAGGGAGGGAAACCATGGGTTTAGCGACAGCACCGGCGATAAGTGGCCAAATGTGTGCGACAATGAGGACAGCGGTGTTCAATGTCGTGACACTCGTAGACAAACCACGGGATGAGACAACAGCAGCAGATCCAGCAGAAACAAAGAGGCACAGACAGAGACCACACAAGTACTCCCGGTGTCGGCACTGTTTGAGTGACCACTTGTGTCCCACAGTGTGTGCACATCATATTCATGGGATACGGACTCGTCTCTACGGCCATCACAGTAGTGCCCGACTGGGGATTCGCTTCAGTTTGTGCCATAGATTTGGGATTGTGTTTAGTTAAGACAAAGAAGAGACACAATTTGATATTTAATTCAATATTATTTGTAAAATCTTTGCACAAATTAATCAACGACTTTCTGTCAGTTTGAAATTCTGGATAAATACTAACAGTTATCTTATTTTACAAATTATTGATTTATTATTTAAAATAAAGCAGTTTTAATAATAGGGTGACTAAACAATACTCTTTGTATAACTAAATACTGTTAACACATTTTTTTAAAAATTAGTTTCAATTGTTATTGATTTATGATTATAAATATTCAATGTATTCAATAAATTTGCGTTAAAATTTTAAAATATTTATTGAGTCTTAATATCAGTCAAAGATTTTACAGTTAATTCAGACTTTATTTTATCGACTTTTACAGGAGTTTTGCAATAAAATTGCAATATTTTTCTTTTTGAAAACAAATTAAACCCGTTGTCAGAAAACTCTCCGATTATATCGGACTCCAGTGTAAAGTCTAACCAAACAAAGAGCGCAATATTGTCGGTCTCGACGACAATATCGTAAACATAATTTGGGAGATAATTGTGAGGACCAGTGATTTGAGTAATCACTAGATTTGCATTTTTCATGCCATTTGAGTCTCGAAGTAGACTTAGAAATAGGAAATTATTTGCTCTCAAAATGTTTGGTTCATTTTCAACACTCACTTCAATTAAACACTCTCTTCTGTCCAAACAATTGCCAGAATTCATGACATTTGTGATGGAGTTTTCGTAAACTATTTTTGATGAAAAGCCTTCTGTGGAGACAATAGTATAGGCGGTGAGGGTTGGGTTGAGTGACGACCACTTCAACACTTTGATCGATAAATTAAATGTTAAACTTCCAGAATAATCATCGCGAATGACCGCAACTTTCAATGTCTCGTTCTCTTCGTACGGAACGAGTAATAAATTGTCAAAAATATTTCTCATAAAATAGTGAGACATTTTCCATTTGCCCCCAAACTCTAGCGAAGCCCACGTCGGGGCCGGCCATATGTCGTTGAGCTGCCAATACAGGGCACCCATAGTAAACCCCTCACCGCTTAATGGATTAATGTCTCGATTTCTCCGATAAAACTCAGTCTCTGTTTTAAGAGCCATCGCCTGAGCTA